AATCAATAAGTCGCAACTTTGTGCTGTTTCTAACTGTGAAAATACTGGGAATCGATCAACTTTATTCGAATTTTCATCGAATAGGTGAATAGAACACTTGGTGCACTCCAGATCAGAAGATTTTATAATAAACAACATAATTATATTATGCGAATCTGCAATTGATAAACAAGGTGAATTTCGAAAAGAACCAACCGATATCAAACAAAAACTCTGAATGACAAATTCGGAAATATTTCAAACTATTTATGAGCATAGTAAATCCCGAAATTCACCATTGAATATTCATCCTATAGATGCAAAAGTTTGGAAAAAGTGAAGTTGATTACAAGCATTGATTTTCTACCCAATATATTTTGAATGAAATTCTCAATTTACCGTTTACGTATAATGTATACACTTTTTTCCACTGGGAAACCGGAAGTTGTGATTCTAAGATAAAGAAAGACAATATTTTTAAATCATATACAGTTCAATATTAAGGAAGACACGTTTCCCTCTATTTGAAAATAACACATGGTATATACCGGGTGATATTGAAATAAATACAAATATTTCAGACCCTATTAAAAAGCTCCGACGTATACCGGGGCAACCGAATGATGGACAAGAACAATTTTTTTAGAACAATAATACCATCGAATGCGATCGAATGGGACCAATCTGATACCCCTTTTTCCAATCAAAGTGCTACACAATAGTAATTGTGACGTCACCACTGTACAAATTTACGTGCAGAAGGCACAAACACGTGGAGTTCAATTCATTTAAATTGTCTTGAAATGGCGTACTTGATTTTTTTTTTTTCGTTTTTGTTCCATTTCAAGAAGACATCTGATAGGAACATGGAACATTCGTTAGACTGTGTATATTATATTGATGTGCTGTATACTTATTTGAAAAACACCGCGTATAATTACTTAATTGCAATCATTCTTTCAGGGACCAATTTGTTCAACGTTGCTGCTCACGAAATAGGGCATTCCTTGGGATTATCACATTCCAATGTGGAAAGCGCTCTAATGTATCCTTGGTACAAAGAAATGGAAAATGGATTCGAATACGATTTACCGGAAGATGACAAACAAGCAATACAGTATTTATATGGTGAGTAAAGGTTAGATCATTGCGTCATTCTAAATCAAAACAAAGTAGGCGAGGTTTCATATATTGTCTGATCTGATCATTGAAAAGATTATGAAAGAAGCTTTTATCAACGATATTTCCAGTAAAACGGTGAAGAACAAAGTTAATCATTTGTAATCCTATATTACCCTAGAAATGCTTCGTATTTGTGTCAAAATTCAGCTTTCCGTCAAGTTTGTACAGAATGACAGAAGTAATATAAGAATATGGTATTGTTTGAATGATGTGTATGTTTTCATTGTTTGTATATGGACAATTCAATGCATGTATAAAAAATCCCACAAACCATGTGATTTTGTCATTATTGACAGCGAAAAAAGTTTGCCCTAACTTTTCCAGGGACAATAACGGAACCTAACTTTTGAATTAAATTGTCTTGCCGAATTACACTCTAGCTTTTTTCAGTTGGAGTAAACTTGGCATTTATAATTCGAATTTTGTTGCAATTAGGTAATTCGAATAAAAAAACTGACAGAAAAAATTACTCGTCCTACAGACTCGTAATCTTTTCAGAGGCAGTTTTTTTCATCAAATGCCAGACAACAAAATCCTTATTGATACTTGTTAAGTTTACTTCGACAAAAAAAATCTCTCGAGTAATTATAATCATCCTACGCAAAGATTACATCTACACAAAGATTACATAAATTCAATGAGATCATACTTATTTTGGATTCGAAAAATCGCTGCAGTCAACTAAGACTGTAAATGATATTTTAGACACCCAGTACACTGATGGATCGTGAGCGAGAAAAATTATGTTTTTCTATTATGTCCTTGTCTTCGGGGTTCAAACGTGAAATAAGAAAAAAATTATTTTGGCAACACTAGAAATGGAAAGATGAGAAGAAGTCCATTCCAACTTTTTTTATATTGAGGTTGAATATGGTTTTCTTTTCCATTTCTTCATACTTCCAGTCTTGGCAACATACGATTTTCATTATTTTACGTAAGCATTGGAACACTGAAGACAATGACAGTTGGGAAGGACAATTGAAAGAGACAATGGAAAGTCATATTTTATCTCTCTCAAAGCCATCTGAACTTTTGGAAGGAGAATGGAAAGACATATTTTTTCTCTCTCACCGCTAGCCGAACTATATTGAACAAATACTGTCTGTAGGTTAATCAAGGATAGAGGATTCATTATTTCAGATTTCTTGGGATTTTCTCTTTATAACATAAGAATATGAATACTTTTTCAATATACGTGTACCTAGTTAGAACAAATCAGATGATTTGCCCCAAAATGTCACTACGTTCAATGAATTTTCCTATCAGAGAGCCTAAGACAAAAATTCACTAGCTTGTCAGTGACAATTTGTATTGAAAAAGGTTTGGAGAAGAGAAGCAATGCTATTGTCTCCGACCTCCGTTCAGTAGGGTGCAAGCAGATTCTTTGATTTTTCTCTTCTGGTTGTTATCTTCTTTTCCAATGATTTTAATATTATTCCACTCTGCCATATCTTGTCCATCTTCAGTAAGGATTTGTTCAGCTAGTTTCGATTTGTCGATGTGTCTTTTCTTTATATTGTATTTATGTTGCTTCGTCCTTGGTTTCACCTAGTGAAATAATATTAAAATCATTGGAAAAGAAGATAAGAACCAGAAGACAAAAATCAAGGAATCTGCTTGCATTCTTCTGAACGGAGCATTGCTTTCTGTTCTGTTGATATAGATAGAACATGGTATTCACCACTGAAATCTGAAAATGAAAATGGTAAATTCAAGAATAATTGATAAAAACATCCTGTACTTAACTCATTTTATTGCCAACGCCACCAATGGTCACTGAGAACTAAAAAGTGTCAGGACATATACTAGTTTGCAATACAAGAATCCATTTTTAATGTTGAAAACGAGAGCAGATTCGTTCCCGAAACGTCCAAGAAAAAGTAAAAATTTTATATTCTTTCGATATACCTTTATTTCTCTTCTCCAAAGCTTTTTCAATATACAAATTGCCACTGACAAGCTAGTGAGTTTTCTTTTAGGCTCTCTGATAGGAAATTTTTTTAAACGCAGTGACATTTTGGGGCAAATCATCTGATTTGTCCTAACTAAACGTATATTGAAATAGTATTCATATTTTTATTTTGAAGGGACGAGGAGAGAAAATCCCAAAAAATCTGGAATGATGAATATATTGAACAAATTGAATTCACTGCGACTCTACGTCCACCTCTATTTTTTTTTTATTGTTTTTTTCGCAGGCATGGCAATGTTCCAATTTAGCAACAATTTCAATTCTTATTATTGAATTAAAACTGATTATAACATCTCACATCGTTTCGATGAAACGAGCAGTGAACTAGTGAACACACTGTGTCACAGATTGAGTTAAATTGAACAAAATTTCGAGATGCGTTTTTACGTATCAGCGGCGGATCTAGGGAAGGGGCACCACACGGAAAAAAAGGATTTATTGCATCAACAAAGCATTTATGTTCGAACTATTTTTGTTGGACTGAACATTTTTTTGTTGAATCAAACAGCAACATGATCATTTCATAGAAGCAGCTTGTTCAAATCAAGAATGTAGTCTAATTGAATCAACAATATAATATCAATTCCATCAACAAAATGTATGGTTTTCTCAAAAACAAATTATGTCGATCCAAAATAATGTCGATGTCGATTCAAATATAAACATTGTGTTGATTTGATCGATTAAAGATCATTTCCGTCGACCTCGTATTAACGACTATAAGTTTAATATATATGAAATCGTTCATTGATGACCCCTATTAATGAACGATTTGTCTATTAATGCACGATTGTTTCATAGGCAACCAAACATACACCGCGTGCATTCATTGTTTATGCTATAACTTACGGAATCTGCATTTAAATCGAAAATATGGATTTCATCAAGGATTTTCCGTTAACGGGTTCGCCTCTTCAAGTTTCTGACACGATTTCAATCTCTGTTTTCTAACACAAGGAATTTATGTTTTATGTTGATCATTTCGACAAATGTCAAATGTCACTAATGTCAGTAACAAGGCTACTGGGTGATTCTTAGCAGTTTCCGGGTGAATGATGAATTCGCGAACCAAGTTTTCTTCATTGCAGGAGAAATGAGAAATATAGTCGACGGAAAAATTTTGTAACCAACTTGTATATTAAAAGGCGATTAATACACTAGTTGGTTGAATAACTATTTTGATATGAATATATCTTTGAAACAACGTACAAGTTATCTTATTCTGATGTAGCAATGAACTCGTTTCAAACGGATCATTTGCTTGAATAGAGATAGAGCAACAAAATATGTTATATCAATGAAATATTTTGTTCATTTTACATCAAGTTAAATTTTCGCTCTAGATGGCGATCATTTCGCCTGCCTCGAATTCATTATATACGTGATTCTCAGTGGCGGATCCAGGGGGGGGCTAGAGGGGCTATAGCCCCTCCCATTGAGACATGAGAAGGCACTACTTACTTACTTTATACAGGAAGGGAGATTTTCCTTCCTCCCTGAAAAAAGTACTGTGGAGGCATTTACTGTTGAGGAATAGTTTTGACAAAATTATATTCTAGTATAAAAGTCGTTTTTTTGGTCGAGTTGGATTGTGTTGTTTTAAAGAATAGTCTCTTTTCACTTTCATGTGAATATTGTGAATTCATAAAAATGCTATTTTCTTCTTTTTGGGTTATCCTATCAGTTCAAGATCGTTCAAGTACTTTCTTCATCAAGTTAAAGAAAATCAGCACAATTCGGCAACACCTCTATTCCATTTTATGACGCAGCCTCCGCTCCGCAGACGCAAAGTAGCCTGCCGATATTCGACTAGTCACGTTACGATCGCTGCGTTGCGTGTATAGTTTATTTTATTTTGCCGCTAAAAATGAAACGAACTTTACTTGACTTCTATAAACCGAAACCGCTAGATGACGAAGAGCGAGAGCCAAAACGATTGAAGGAAACGGAATCAGATGCTATTCCAAGTACATCTGGATCTAATTCGCAGGTAGGCGGAAGGCAGGATAGGCCTCTAGGAAAGAAATTGAATAGGTATTTATTTATTTATTATTTACAGGAACAAGATTTGTTATCGTACGATATAGGACTCGCGGTAGATAAAAAAATGTTGAACGATAATGAAAGACTGAAATTTCTGAAAGAAACATGGAAACCTGATCGTAACTATGTATTTCCATGTCAGCAAGAAGGCAAGCAGGTTAGAAAATTTTGCTACGGTTGGTTCGAACGATTTAACTGGCTATCTTACAGTCAATACAAAAGTGGAGCCTTCTGCAAAATGTGTGTACTATTTGCACCAATGGGTGCTGGAGTTGGATGTCAGGTATGGTATAAATAAGTTGAAAGGAAACTCTGCAATAAATGTTTTCGCTACATAAAACATTCTTCATGAAAAAATTAATTGCGATTTGATTAAGGGCTCGTGCTCGGCTCAAATCCGTTTTTACTTGTCACTTTTTGGACGAAGTATATACAGAGTGTTTCATTTAGTCCCAGGATTGATAAGCTGATTAGATGATTGATTCCAATTTTTATTTACAGCCTCTTAAAACGTTGGTGAATCAACCGCTCACAAAATTCAAAAAAGCTTTGGATATGCTGCATCATCATGAAAGCAGTCAATATCACAAATTTTCGGTTCAGAAGTCTGCCGGATTTTCTATAGTTAATTCTGGCAAAAATGCAAATATTGTTCTTCAGCTTGACCAAGCAAAATTAGATATCATTGAGGCTAATAAAAAAAGACTGAGACCAATAGTGAAAAGTATAATATTTTGTGCTCATAACAATATACCTCTAAGAGGCCACAGAGATGATGGAGAGTTGGTGGTTCAAGAGTACCAAAATACAGTTATTCCTAATAACCAAGGTGTGTTCAGAAATTTATTATTATTTCGCTTAGACTCTGGAGACGTAGATCTACAGTCACATTTTGAGAATACTGGCAAAAATTGCACAATGATTAGTAAAACCGTACAAAATGAAATCATTGCTTCAATTGGAGAGGTTGTAAAGACATCCATCGTAAATGACATAAAAAAATTTAAATTCTTTTCTATTCTCTGTGATGAAACCACAGACATAAGTAAGAAAGAACAAATGACTCTGTGTATAAGATATGTAGATACCGAAATTTGTGTATTAAAGGAAGAATTTTTGGGATTTATTGAGATGTCTTCAACCACTGGACAGGACATTAAAGATGCAATTTCTAAAGAATTAAGACGAATGGGTTTATCACTTGAAAATCTCAGGGGGCAAGGTTATGACGGTGGAAGTAATATGGCTGGCAAGTTTATTGGCACCCAAGCTCTTATAAAAAATGAACAGCCGTTAGCATTGTACACTCATTGCTTTGCTCACTGTTTGAATCTATCTATATCAAAAAGCTGTGAAACAACAGCAATTAGAAACATGGTTGGAATTGTTAGTGCAGTATCCACTTTCTTAACAGCTTCAGCCAAGCGAGTTAACGTTTTAGAACAAGCAATATCAAACGCAAATTTGACCGAAGTTAAAAAACGCAGATTAAAAGCGCTTTGCACTACACGTTGGGTTGAGAGGCATGAAAGTCTCATAACTTTCAAGGAACTTTTTTTGCCAATTTCTAATGCCTTGGAACAACTAGAAAGTGACCGTGATGTTGACACATCAAGTAAGGCAGCTTCATTAAGTGCAGCAATTAGAAGGAGTGATTTTATTATTGCACTAGGAACAGCAGTTTTATGTATGTCGTATACACTCAAATTGAGCAAATTTTTGCAAAATCCAAAACAAGACCTTTCAACTGCTTTATCCTATGTTCAACACATAAAAGCTATTATAAAGAATATAAGAGAGCAAGCTGATTCTGAGTTCCAAAAAATTTACACAGAGTCTTGTGAAATAGCTTTAGATCTAGGGACAAATATTGCTGTGCCTCGTATATGTAACCGTCAGACAACAAGAAATAATATTAATGCTTCAAACGACGAAGAATATTTTCGTATTACTGTATTTATTCCTTTCGTTGATCATATTATTGTCGAAATTGAAAATCGTTTTGACAAAGGGACTTGTGCTGTTATGGCAATAGAAGGGATTATTCCTAGTAATCTGGAAAAATATAAAGATGAGAAAATAATAGAAGCGGCTCTGTTTTACGAACAAGATCTTCAAGGATCCGATATTCAGCTTGCTGCGGAATTAAAAATATGGAGGCATACATGGAAATCTAAACAAGACAAGCCCTCTACAGCAGTGGATTCTTTAAAAGAATGTGATGAACTATTTTTCCCAAACATTCGAATTTTACTGCATCTTTTTTCGGTTTTGCCCGTTACAACAGCCACTGCAGAAAGAAGCTTTTCAGCTTTAAAAAGACTAAAGAGCTATTTAAGAAGTACTATGAGTGAGGAAAGGCTTAATGGCCTTGCCCTTCCTTACATCAATAAATCACGAAGTATTAATGTTGACCATGTTATAACTATGTTTTCAAAAATGAAACCCAGAAGGATTGAGCTTTCTAATTGGTTTGATAACTAACTTCATTGCTCATTTTTTCATTTCGTTTTTAAATGTTTGCGTTATGTACGATATACATATATGAATTATATGGGTTTTATATATTACATTTCGTTTTTTTAGCCCCCCCCTTATGCAAATCCTAGATCCGCCACTGGTGATTCTTCGTGTTTGAAATATCAACTGGATGAATCGAACTTATAGGATGATTAGCAATCCGAAATAGTTCTGCATCAGCCGAAGAGAAGTAAAAACAGGAGGAAATCTATACTAGAATCGATGAGTTTCCTAGTGTACTTTATTCTATTGATGTGAAATTTCAGTAAATTCCGGAATTAATACTGAATTTGGTTCAAAAGACGATTTGTCGAATGAAAATACAGTTCTTCTTGAATCAATGAGCCTAAATTACAATTGAACATATACAGGGTGTTTCTTAGGTACGTGTAGAAAATTCAGGAGCATGTTGCTGAAGTCAAAATAAGAAGAAAAGTTCGTTATATAAACATATGCCCGAAAGTTATCCGTTTCTGAGATACATAGTGTCAATGTTGAATTTCAATTTTTGTTTTTTGTTAATAAATTTCAAAATAATTGTGATATTGGAATGAAATTTGGTATCTAGGGGTATTTTTCAATGACAATATCGAATTCTATGTTAGTTTGTCTCTTTCGTGGGGGTGGCGCCAGCTACATTCCTTTTGAGTCTTTTGAAAAGTCATAACTTTTTTGTGCGTACCTGTATAACGTTTTATAGTAAAAAAAAAAATAGATTTCTATAGCACTTATTTCGTGTTGAAAATATATTTCTGGTTGAGCTCGCTGCGAGCCACTGTTTTCGAGTTATTGGGATCTGAAATAATCAATGCAATTTGGAATGACAAGAAGTTGGAATTCAAAATTGATTTATTAAGTAAGGGAAATTATTTTTCTTTAATTTCATTGAAAAATCGGAATCGGGTGTTATTACGATCAAATACTAATAATGAAAACAGTAATTGAAACCAAATTGATACTAAAACAGTTAGTTGAAGAAGCTTGGATCACAAGTACAGAAGACAACAAACTTCACTGTCACAAGAACGGATTGAAATAACATGACAAGTACTCACTTGATTGTTATTTTTTTGAATTGGAAGAGTTCAAAAAAAGTAGGTACAAAGAAGTAAGAATCATATTTTGCCTACATTCCAATGTTGAATATAGGAGAATATTGAATGGAAGAAGAAAAATGCACTGGCGTATCTTTTCTGATATTCACTAGAGTCACCTTACGAGTCACATGGAAATAATTCAAATGCATCGATTATTTCGAATCCCTATAACTCGAAAACAGTTGCTCGCAGCGACCTCTACCAGGAATATATTTTTTACACAAAAGTGTTCTAGAAGTCAATATTTCTACTATGGAACGTTATACAGGTACGCACAAAAAAGTTATGACTTTCCAAAAGACTCAAAAGACATGTAGGTGGCGCCAAACCCACGAAAGAGACAAACTAACATAAAATTTGATATTGTCATTGAAAAATACCCCTAGATATCAAATTTCATTCCAATATCACAATTATTTTGTAATTTATCAACAAAAATCAAAAATGAGAATTCAACTTTGACACTCTGTATCTCAGAATCGGATAACTTTCGGACATATATTTATACGAACTTTCCTTCTTATTTTGACGTCAGCAACATGCTCCTGAATTTTCTACACGTACTTAAGAATCACCCTGTACACACACAGGTTCTCGAGACGACAGCCGGAAATGGGCCAAACGTCCCCAATACCACCCTGCACCTACCATCCCACCTACCAACCCACCCACTACCACTACCACGACCACTACCAGGCCCAGAGCCACCCACCGACCCAGGAACCCATTCGAGCGGCCGTACCATGACTACCGACCCGGGCAACACCCGCACGTGCCTTACCATCCCCAGAGACCCATGAATCCCAGCAAGAAGCACCATCAGTACCAACCGGATTGGAGGAAGACGTTCCACCAACCGTCTACATCAGGTAAGAGAAAATGGGCTTTTCCATTAGGGTTTCACGAGACTCTCGAAATTCGAGATTTCTCGATCTCGAACTGCAGACTGCAACTTGCAATATATCTATTCAATTAGTTAGCTCTATTACGGCTTCGTTCCTTTCAATAATAAATTCACACGAGACCAACGAGACGAGACTTTCATTAAGTCTCGCAAATGTATCGCAATTTCGTCATGCATAATCTTGTTCCAGTCTAGTACGGGATATTTACCTTCACCTACTTTTTAGGTATAATGTTGAAGTAGAAAGAGAAAATTACAACAAAAATAGCATTATTTATTGAAAAGTAAGTACCTAATAGGTACATACTTACATCATACATCTAAACAAAAAAAACATAGCATTATATATTCGAAAGTTATCAAAATATAATGAAATGTTTTGTCTATCTGTGCTAAATAGTCTGAATTCTTTCTGAATATGTTGTATCATGAATGAAATTCTCAAGTCTGCAGTCGGCACGCAGAAATATTCACCTGCGAGACTCTCGCACGAGACACGAGAAGTCTTGCACGAGACTCGAGACGAGACCAATAAAAGTCTCGTCTCGTCTTGTCCGAGTCTCGTCTTGTCCGAGTCTCGTCTTGTCCGAGTCTCGTCTCGAGTCTTGTCTCGAAAACGAGACGAGACTATGCGGGCACCGCTACTCCCGATTCGGAATCAAGACGCCCAATTCACTGACTTTTCATATTTTCTGGGAAAAATTCCAGTTCTGGAAATTAGGGAAGTTTGATTTTATTTTTGTCTGATTTTATTTATTGTACGATCTCAAAACGAACTACACATTTGCATTGCATTATTTTCTCTACTACATGATGGTGCTTCCAGGTTTGCTAACTGACGTTTCGTCTCCTGGCCACCATCATCATCAATCATTATATGTTAGTTAGGTTAAGGCGCAACTGTTCCCAAATCCAACGATCTTAGTTTCTCTTATAGTTTCCGAGATCCCAATGGCGAGGATCGAATTTAAAAGACCTGTATATCATTCGGAATATTCAACAGAAACAACTATACTTTCCTGGCTATCTATTTTCAAAACGAATTCTGTGCTATGTGCTATTACATTAGATTTCGATCGATTACGTCACAGTGTCGCCATATTGATTTCAAAAAAATGTCCCCTGCGCCGCCATTTTGAGAACAAATGACCACTTGTGATATGTCAATCTAAAGGGACTTATTTGCTTCACCGGAAGGCATACAAATATCTACAAGGTTCTATTCCAAACTCACGACGTAGGTCTATTTCTGGTAAAACCGGCAATGATATTCAATTGTTCTTCCATACAATATGTGGGTTTCAAGGAACTGGATCTTTGATCCAAATGTCAACAGTCTAAATAAAAAACACCTCAATGACGCCCTGGCTTAGGATTTCATTGTTACCCGGTATAGTAAATAAGGGAGTTAGTGAAATTTTTGATAGGTACTTACTCTGTAGTCCACCCACTGTTCAATTTGGTTTTCTGACAATAGTTTCTTCTTGCAGAAAGACCACCAGAGAGGAATAATCCGGGAATATATTATCCCACCAAGGTGTACCATCCAGAAAATAAACCGCCATTCAACCCCGATGACAAGTACCGTAAGAACAAGCAGCAGATTCCCACCAAAGAAGCGCCAGTCTTAATCCCACCGCCAGATACTTGCGATACCAGCTACGATGCCATATCTGTCATCAGACGTGAAGTTTTCATATTCAAAGATGCAGTAAGTAATACTTGATTACTCACATCACATTCCAGCTAAGAATAATTTCGAGACATTGAACCTCCACTGCGATGTTCTGTTCACACATGAATAGAACTATCATAGAACAGCCAATGTCCGCCGCAGGCGGCAATTATCGAGATGTCCTTGATATGTCACAAAACTACCTTCTCCCTAGTTCTTTTTAAAGCCTTTTCATGGACACAACAGAACATTTTCAACGCGTCTTGCGCACATTAAATCGCTGTAAAAAAACATTTTCGAGGTACTTTTCTGAAGCCTTTTGTCAAAATGAACTTTTGCATTAGGATTCCATTTCCCTTGAATGAAAAAATGCATTAAAAATAGATTGAACATAAAAATATTTTCTTGATATGAAATTACCTTCTTAATCGGTTTCTGAGTAGTGCTTGCTACACACAGTCATATAATTGGAAATAGGTTTCCCAATTTTCGGAAATGTTCTCCACAATGCATAATTTTGCAACTGCGGAGAAGCTGTGTATTGATGAATTCGTACTTTTATATATTGATTACACTGAGGCACCAAACAACACATCTTGCATCTGATGGTCATTATTACAAACTAAATAAGTCTTCTAACACAATAATAAACTTCACCAAATTCCTTTCTGTTCGTTAGCAGCGTGATGTAAGCGTGACACGCTGCAAACGCGAATGCCAATTGCGAACAAGAAGAACAAAATCGAAAACAAATCAGAATTGATCGTATTGTGACGTAAGCATGAGACGTTGTGGTGGGGCAAACAAAGAAAGGGCACAAAAGAACAAAAACAATACTTTCAATATCCTTCTAAGACCTCTTTGGGAAGTGCATATTACGACCCAAAAAAACATCCTTATGATACCTACATTTCCCAATATCCCAAAACATCCCAGGGATACCTCTCAGTAGGCAAACAAAGAAATGCCACAGAAGAACAAAACAATACTTCAATATTCTTCAAAGACTCTCTCTGGTCAGTGCATATTACGTCTCAAAATAACATCTTCATGCCAACATTTTCAAAACATCCCAAAACATCCCAGCGATGTTTGTGCTCGCTGGGTAGTGATCACAGAGATGAGGTGACAATTATTCTAGTACTCAAGGCGAATTCTACTAAACCAAAAGCTTGATATGTCCAGTTGAAAGAATAACGCAAGAGGTAGAACAGATACCTACAACACCAATGAAAAGAAAATGAAACAGTGAACTGGCCCCCTACAAAGGGGCAAGTTGGTGATTGTTCCTGCATTAGAAATTAAACTCTACAAAATCTCTGTCTCCATGTAGGCTTGTACCTGTGAAGTTTCTTCACGATGTAATAATCTATTTTTTGCCTGTGATGGAAGGCAGTGTATTTGAAGGCTCATGTTATTATCAATTCCAGAAGCCTTTTACCATAATTTGAGTCCTTGTATTTGTTCACATAAGTCATGTGTTACGTATTATTTCATATATAAATATATACTTAGCCGAATTAATGCTACCGATGTCGAGGCAAAATTTCTACTTGGTTAGTTTTTTCTGGACACTCCTCGTTTCGCTCGTCGTACTCCAAATAATGCGTGCGACAAAATAGTGTCTTATGAAACTCGTATAATAATATACCATTTTTTTTATCCGTACATGGCCTTCTTAAGGTTGATTTGTGCACACCGCTTTCTCATCAATCTGTTGTTTTCATCAACTGTCATTAAGTTTATTTTTATTTAAGGACCATGATACCTTTATGCACCATCACTTTTTAATTTTGAGCTGTTCTTCTTGGTCAAAACATAGTCCTCAGCGTACATAGCCCGATGAAAATATTTGTGTTATAACATTCAGTGATCACATAATTACAATAAGAATCATTCATTCATATTATTTTCAAAGTCTAATTTGAACATACGACTAGCATTTCCAGAATTTTCAAAAACATTTTAGAAAGAGAAGAGGAAGCAATTGTTTGTCTGACTTCTAACAGAATCGCGCCTGCGCCAGACAGTTTTATTTGTAATTGTCGCTAATCATAGATTAATGAATCTCCCATTAATCTATGCTTTTAGCAAATAGTTAATGCAAGATAAAATTCAATTTAGGTGCATGATAGTATATTACGTAATATGTGTTGTAAAAAGCTCATTACGCCCAGATGGAAAAGTTACGCACTTTGCGTAACTCCATGAGTGCGTAATTGCTTCACATCACGCATTAACAAAAAGTTTGGACAGACAGTCTCAATTATAATTCTTGACTGTTATGTCATCCGCTGTTGACGGCGATTACGCGATCATGACATACCTATACTGACGGAATATACGAAAACTGTGCGTTGTGCTTACCCTAATGACACAACTCGATCCAATGATCGTCCTATGGACATCCTCCTCTGGACATCTCGGACTTCCATAGGACATTCAGTTTGTGTACACTGGATGACGTATGGACATCCATAGGATATCGCGTTTCCAACTTTTTAGCTATCCATATAGTATCCGTCATGGACATCTATATGGTATCCGTCAAGGACATTCATATGGTATCTGTCTTGGACATCCATATGGTAAATTTTATCAGATGTTTTGAATGTATGCATCCATATTATATAGGAATAAGCAGATCTGGTCAATAAACAGAATCTATGTTTCTGGCTGTTATATTCATTACAAATGTGATTATATTCAAGTACACTAGGTACTATAATATTCTATTTCAGATTGGTGTGATATGTTGTTTCTATTGACACTTCCCTTCATCATTTCAGTTTGGTTGACTTGACACAATAGGCACTCAATTTCAGATCCGTTCTACTAGTTGAAATTCTTCGATATCTTCATCAACACATCCTGGGATGGCTCTTCACTTCAAGTGATCTATTTATTCTTCAACCGAAATGTCATAACGATAAAACACAAGCGAGTGTCGACGCCATTCACACACACATATTAAGGAACAGCTCATTACAATAATGTCACTCAATACAAGTCCGAACATGCAAAAATCATCAGAACGCTATACATACATATATCTGAAAATGATGAGATTATCAGTCTCAGTCGCCTCAGACAATGCATCAATGTTAACAACAATAACAATGGCGGACGGCATCACTACTCTGACACGGCTGACCCTGTCGATGTCGATGATACCCGAGACGATTATGTTGAGTAACATTATCAGAGGGGGCATTGGAATGGACACCATATGGATAGCTTCACCTGAACATCCAATGCATGGATATCTTCATGTGGAAATCCAGTGTTGTCCCGATTGTGTCCATGGACACCTTGAACATATAATGGACACCATATACACTCACATGCAAAAAAACGCAACAAGTAAATATTTGGTAAAATTTGAAGTCTCAGTTTTTTTAATTTTACTTCAATTTCCAAAATTTTTTCAGCAAACTGTGGATAAAATCATCAATTTCAACTGGCACATTCAGTATTTTGTTAAATGCTGGCTCATTAGTCATTATACAGGGTAAACTAGAAGTATGTTGATATACCCTAATTTTAAAACATCCCGTGGAATAATTTCGTGGTCAAATTCTTTCATAATACCAATTTTTGTTAAGAACCGATCCTTTTCAACATTTTGTTCTTTAGTTCAAGTCTTGAGTTGCTTTAGTTGATTTTCAAGAGGGAAATGAACTCCAAACAACAGAGTTTACCTAATTTTAAGTTATTTTTTTACGACATGGATTTGCTCATTGTGCCATAATGTCAGTATGACAGCTCAGTTCATGAGTGTTACAATGAAATGGCAGCAATATATTGTTTAGTTATAATAATAAACAATTAATACAAAATTTATTTATGCAAACTCATTCAATTCAAATTAAAAATCAAACTTCAAAACAAACCAGTTCAACTGTAACTTAAATAACCTGATGAGGAAATGTACTTTTTACAACAAGATCAGCTTAATATTTTGTATTACCACCTCTGGCTCTCACAACTGCCTGCATACGTTGGTTCATACTGTCAATTAGGTTTCGAATAGCATCTTGTGGAATATTTTGCCATTCCTCCTGAATGGCTAAACGAAGTTCATTTATGGTAGCCGGAGCTACTTCGCGATCTCTGACTCGCCTACCAAGCATGTCTCACACATGCACTATGGGGTTGGGATCAGGCGAACATGCTGGCCAGTTCAGTTTGTTGATACCTACTTCCGCGAGGTATTGTGTGACACAAATTGCTGTATGTGGCCGCGCATTATCCTGCATCAGGATAAAGTCATGGCCGATAAATCCACTAAAAGCTACAACGTAATTGCTTAATATCTCTTCAATATATCGGTGAGCCGTTGAAGATCCATCGATGACCACCAACTCAGTGCAGGCCTTCCTGGATATTCCTGCCCAAACCATTACTGAACCTCCTCCATAACTCAGATGGGGACTGAACGTGCATTCTGCAAATCTTTCTCCGTTCCTTCTCCATACTCTTTTCCATCCATCTGGAGAATGTAAGCAGAATCTGGATTCGTCAGTGAAAAGAAAATTGTTCCATTGCCCCAAGTTCCAATGTAAATGTTCAGTAGCAAATTCCAGTCTAGCTACTCGGTGACGCGGAAGTAATTTGGGTCCCGTTGCTGGTCTGCAAGCTTTCAAACCAAACTCCTTCAATCTTCGGCGAACTGTCCACACACTAACATTTGTACCTCGAACCTCTTGAAGTTGATTTCTAGACTGCACTGATGTTAAATGACGATCCCGCAGAGTATTTACATGAAGTAATCTGTCATCAATAGCAGTCGTTTTTCGTTTTCTGCCACTACCTGCCCTACGCTTATTTCTGCCAGATTGTCTAAAACGTTTGATTACTCTTTTGATGGTTGAGCGATGAACATGAAGTATCATTGCAACATATTCATAATTACGTCCATCTTCAACAAGAGCGACAGCTTTTGCGCAATTTTCCGCACTTAAAACCATGGTTCGAGTTCCTTAAGGTCTCTCACTGTCAAACTGACATTAGGACAACAACGAGCAAAGCCACCTCTTCAAAAAATGACA